AAAATTTAATGTGGACAGTTATGTCGATTTTTATTCATGAAACCTAACCCCTCCGGCAGTGGCAGTTGAATCTATTGGTGGATATGTTTTCGCTGCCGCATGAGATAGAACAAGAGAATAATATCTAATGTCTTATTCTACTTGACAGATCTAGGATGAATTCGTAAGGACTAGTAAGTTTAGTAATAACCATGCATTATTTAACAAAGGGTGACTGTAAAAAAATCGTTAGCTTGGATACTTCTGTCCCATTCGTGTTTCTACCGTGAAGCAGTCATGTTTACATGGTTGTGTTTCGGTTTTAATGATGGAATATAACAGTAAATTTACAGGGTACAGAGGAATAATACCTTAGTCCTCAGGATGGCAACGATTGGGGGTATCATGGGCAAAACAGTATACTCTATTATGTCCATGGTACTGCTCATGTCTATAGATGACGGTTACCACTTTCCATCAGATGGGCCGTCAACTCGTTTGCCATTCTAAATTGCATAATAAAAAATTATAAACAATTAGTTTTTTGCCTTCTACTTCGAACGTATGGATAGTATATAAGTATTCAGAAGAACTAATAACACGCACCATTTCCAGATGGCCTATCAAAATTAAATATACACCAATTTTTAAGTAAAATCTTCATATATAGACCTGTGAAAATCGTATCCAAATTAGGGCATTAGTTTCTAAGAATTACTTTTTTTTTTATACAACTTAGAATGGCAAACAAGCTGACGGTCTACCTGATGGAAAGTGGTAACCGTCGTCTATAGACATGAGCAGTACCATGGATATAACAGAGTATACTGTTTCGCCCATGATACCCCCCATGCGTTGCCATTCCTGAGGACTCAGGTGTTATTCCTCTGTACCCTGTAAATTCACGTATTTATGTTGTTTTGACTTTTATTTCTCTTATTAAGAATCTTTCTATAATTTTTCTTAAAAATCTTCCATGCACAAACATTGTTGAGTTACAATTTTATTATACTACTAATATAGTAAAATTTTACTAATAGGGTACTATAACGAAAGGGTACTATACCGCAACAATCCAAAACCCACCCATATTATTCAAACTCGACAATTTTTGCCGAGGAAAACGTATAGAAATATGAAAATATTTTTTAAACTTCACAAATACGCGACCCCATGATCACATTACTTTGAAAGGTTCAAACCCTTTACCCTTTCCACCTTGTATACCTACAATTATTATTAACCAGTGTCACAGTATATATTGTCGATGTATATCTACACACACTACATTACGGGCACAATACAATCGCAAAGGTAGAAAAAGTCGATACAATGAATATATAGTTGTATTTCGGTTCCGAGGATATACGGCAGTGAAATTACAGCGTGCAAAGGTATAACAGCATACTCCTCAGGAATGGAAACACGTAAGTGATGCCATGGTTAAGTCGGTTGGTAATTGACATCTATTAATATTAATAAACTTTCAGTTATATTAACTGTTATCAAATTTTTTGTGTTGTGTTACAAATTATGAGATAAGCGAGACAATATGCGCAAAACATAACTTTCTAACATACTGATATATATAAAATTAAGGAGTTTATAAATAAATAAAATGTATCAAAATCATCTTCTCTTCTTGTATTTCAATCGAAATATTGTACGTTTTTCAATTCGTATGACTTTTAGTCAATATAATTGCAGTTTTTAAAAAATCCTCATTTACTTTGACGACACGCACCGAGCTCTACAATTTACAGGTCGACAAAACAGGGCATATATCCTGCAATAACTACATTTCCTACTTCCCGGATATCGGGCGCTAGTTCTGTTGATTTTACGTGAAATATAGCTAGATAGATAACTTTTGCGCAATTTTGTCACGGCCCCACAAAGGGGCGGATGACAGGGCAACGGGTAGCTATGAGTACTGTTTCATTATTTGCTATACGTAAAGTGCGCTTGACGAAACTGTTGCATTTCTAGGTATATTATGATTCTGTAGTTTCACTTTTGTCAATTGCATATTTGGCAAGTACAATATGATTTTCGATATTATAATAACCTACTGGTAGGCAGAATTCTCTTCCTATTAGAACATAATTTGGCTTAAATACTCTGCCATCTAAATATATACTTTTACATAGAGATTTCTTGTAATAATATGTTATGTTTTGTTCCTTTAAACGGGTCTTGTTGTAAAATGAGATTAAAGGAAGTGATGACACAACCTGCTTAATCACCATGACGATGTCATATGTTATAGTTTAAAACAGTTGAACCATAATATAGAGATAGATCTTAAGACGCCAAATTTTCTCATTAAATTGTTTTATTTTAATAAAAACATTCAGTCGAATATAAGAACATAATTATGAATTACTTTGCCATTTATTTTTACCAATTTCCTTCATCATTTGCAAGTTTGTTGAAAGGGAAACCTTTCTATGTTAAATTAATAGCCCTTTTATCATTCACTTTCCCTTGATGACAATTATGTAAATCTTTGGTTGTACACAATAATAAATAAAGTATAAATAGAAATAAGTATAATTGTACTTCATAGTCTGTTGACTTCATAATGAAGGAACTTCTCTATTCTACTATTTATGTTATATTTCCATAAAATCTATTTTAAATATTCTTTTTAAAACAAAATTTGCTGACGTATTTGCTCCATGAAAATATTGTCAAGACTCCAAAATACTTTATGTTGAACTTTTAAACATTGTCAAGTATTTATTGTATTATTAAATCAAAATTAAACATCGTACTCAATTTCGTTACCCAATGTCTCCATTCATACACCAATATTGAGGTGTCCCATATACATCGTCTCATATCAGTTAAACTCCATAAATTATTAAACATGTTACTTTCCTACATGTCAGTTCGCTATTCTGCTGTTTTCTCGCCTAAAACAAAAATATCTCGTCACAAGGCCGTTGTCACTACGGGCCGCTGGGCCGTGCCATATTAGATTATAAACATTGCCCCATAAAGTTCAGTTTTATGTGGGTTACAGTTTGTTTTCTTGAACACTGCTTCACCCATCGATGAGTTTTATGTGTAATACCTATTAATAATTGTGTTTAGTGAGGTGACGAGGGACGTTGGAGAAATTACAACCTGTGTAGATGGAGCAAAATATGGAATTTGATTGTAAATAATTGTCAGGACTAAACCTTTTATGTTTTTATATGTTATAGAGCCACGTTTATTGGGATTGCCTTATATTTTTATACGTAATATAGAAACGTATTCAATAATGTAGTTCTTAGTGTTAATTCATATATTTTAGCGTAATCTTTACTTTAAATGACGTGATGACTTTAAAAATGAAATCTTGGAAGAAAAGATATAAGAAAAAAGAGGAAAAGAAAGACCAAGAAATAACTAATTAATAGAATGGGCTAAGGAAAAGCTAGGAGTCATGTATCGTATAAGAAGGTCAAAAAAATGGCCTAGAAAAGACTCAGTTGTAAAAGGATTAGTAGCTCCGATAAGAAAAAACCCTTCAAAGAAACTTACCTTAGAAATTATTAAAATTCCACTGCTAGACTTGCTCTTTCTAAATAGGAGGAGAATAATGTCTAATCTAGTATTCTTAGGCGGGTAGCTTCATTTAATAACTGGGTAGTTGAATTAAGTTTGCTATCTCAAAACTTCGTCATTTACAAATTAATTTGGAAAATTCTACTATATATATATATATATATATATATATATATATATATATATATATATATATAGATAGATAGATATACTTTCAGATTGTATAGTTTTAAATCAAAATTACTGCTTTTACCTTTTGATTGAAGTCGGTTTTTTTTGTGAATAAAAGCCTACTTGTGTTTCACTGTTAAATAACTTTATTTTACAAGTACTAAATACAAGCTATTACATTTTAAAATCAAAACTTGACTGCACTGTCACTGACATTGAAATGTCGTATTTAAACAACTTCTTTGAGTATCATTTAGCACAAGTCAGTTTTTGATCCAACGTCACTTCATAAAGGATCCAGCGATAACAATGTTTCCTAAGTTTGATTTATTATGTATTTTTTTTAATCTGACTCATACTTTGTTTTATCAACCTTAGATTATATGGATAGAAAGTCTCCATACAAATGCTTCGCTAAAAACAAGTCAACTTTTTTATTCATATCTGGTGGTGAGTAGGGTTACCATCATTATATTAGCCGTAAACTGTCCACTGCTGAACATAGCCTCTCCCATAAGAGGGGGTTTTGCCAGTAACGGCTCTGATGTGCCTGAATTGTCTCATATGTGATAATACGCAAGTTTTGTTCAATTAACTTTTTATTTTATTCATAAATTACACAAAACTTTTAGTATAGCCTTTACTTTAGGCATACTTTTAATGAATTAATAATAATGATGAATAATTTTTTTAATATTAATTTTTGTCGTAAAACGATAAAAAAGAAATTGGGAAAAATATTTACTTATATATATATTTATTTAAAAAATAGATCGGACTTGCCCGATATGCACACAAAATTTCATAAAAATCAGTAAAGCCGTTTCGGAACAGTTTGGTAACAAACACCGCGACACGAGAATTTTATACATTAGATGTACTTAAATACATATACAAATATATACCCACCTACATATATACATAAAACACAAAGTTATAAAATTTTTAAGGTATGTAAATTACGATGATGACAACTTGCTCATATCATCATTATCATCATCATATTAGTTTTTAACTGTCCACTGCTCAATATAAGCCAGTAGTTGCCATACTTGGCAAGCGAATTGGCAACCGCAGTTACGGTTTAGAGATGTTTTAAAAGGGACACTACTGCCCATCCCTCGTCGGGAGGGACGAGCGATGGGCAACAGCGTCCCTTTATCGGCTCCTAGTCGGCTCCTTAGTCGGCTCTTACAACAGCCAAGGAAAAGGAAAGGGTAGCCTATTCTATGCAAGGACCACACGGCCAACTTGCTCATATAAAAGTCTTTAAATTATTTTTTTGTTTTCAGGGCCCATCTTCGTGACATACGAGACCGATCCGTGTTACGCCTGTTCGAGGCAACGGACATAGGCGGCGGCGCGTTCCCTGGCGCGGTAGGCGTCGGCTCGCTCGCCATGCCGCCCGCAGCATGCTCTGGTCCCTCCAGTTGGGACCAGGTTAGTAACTACAACGTTAGTATAAATGTAATGTGTGGTGTCCGTTTGCTGCTATTATGCAAAAGAAATGTAAATTTGACAAGAGTAATGTCAGATATTACGCAGTGTTATTATAAAGCGCTTTACATTCACGTCGTTAAATCGACGAAGTGTTTTCAATATACCATTTCATTTCTGTATGCCATCTTATCTAATTTGGAAAGTTTTCTTTAGATTTTAATGCATCTGCTTGTATTGATCTAAGCTTTTGATCATTATGTATTTATTTATTTAATTATATATATTTAAGTATACAGGATGAAATAGAAATCCTTAGCGGTGTGTAAAACTAATAATCTACTCATATAGAACATTTTACGACAAAATTTCATAAAGAAAATTTCTAAAAAAAAATATTGAATCTTCTGTAGTAACTCAGTAGTTGAATATGCCGTGTTAGATGGGAGACTCAAAACGTTTTGTATTTTTCGACCCACGCTTCTTTGATGAATGTGTTTAGATTCATCAAAGAAACGTGGGTCGTTGAAAATGTGTGTAGAATACTCCCGTAAAATGATGCTTCATTCTATTATATACCAGTTGATTAATGCTCATGTTATTAGAGTTTGCGTAATTCGAGGCTAGATGGCGTTGTATGATTTGTCCAAGGCTATTTCACTAGCGGACATGATAGGCATTATCTTATCCCAATTCTAGTTTCTTCCACCTAAAAATCACAATGGAAATCTATAAAAGTAGCCGTGTTTCAAAGATACGCTTTAATGAATAGTATTTATCTCTATTTGTTTATAAACATACTGTGTTATACCCGCAACTTCGTCCATCTTATCAAGATATGTTCATTAGCCAGGATAAAAAGTAGCTTCTGTCTTTTTTTATTACGTATATAATACGTGTTTACTACATTTTATAATTAAGCCGCTAAGCCAACAAAAGTAACAAAGGAACACACAAATAAACTCACTTTCACATTTGTAATATTAGTAAGTTTCGCTGAGATATATTTTCGTAATATTCTGTAAATTTAACAAACACACTCATTGTCCCCCTTAGAAATCTAATAACACAGCCATTTGACACCTATTATTATTACCTACATACCCTAATTCTTTTACTGAAAATAAAAAATCCACGCATTGAAGAAAAATAGCTATATATAAAAGAAAATAATTAGCTAAAGTAAACGTAGCAATACAGTATCTTGTTTATAAAAATCAATCACTAATAGCCATTTAATTTCAAATCCACAAAAATGACAATACAGTTTACAAATCGAGTCAACCTTAACCCAATTATTTGGGGTCGGCGAATTTTGTTTTCCTCTTTCATTCACTTTTATTTGCTGTTACTTAAATATTTATTCCCTTTCTGGCCACAATAATCTTGAACACAATCCACTCTTTTTCTTCTAAGTCTTCCTCTACCCTCATCACAAGCACATTCATAATAAACTGAATTAATTTATATATATATGTAAGAGGAACGTGTAACACGACGTTAATTAAATACGCACACTTCATCAATACTTCATTCATAATAATTAAGCTATCATTTCAACTAATAATATTATTATATTAGTGTTCATGTAACTATATTAATAACACATTACGAGTGTGTGCATGTGAGTTTTACTTCTACATGCTCAGAGCAAGAGTATTTTGCTTCTCGTGTCTTAATATGATTTAGACGTAAGGGTTCATGTAATGAATAGCATTATGTACAATAATTAAGGTATACTCGAATGCAAGAGATACATATACATTTAGTATTTATTTAGTTATTTTCTATTAATCAAACGTCAATTTGTATAAATAAGCCGTAATATGGACATATCACAACATGGTCTTATAGTATTAAAATAAGCATAGCAAGATATAACTCGATATACGTAAATACGAGTAACTTTTTAATACTTACGTATGTAGGTGCCTACAATATGTAGAACATGGCCAGACCAATACAAATAGACGCGCTCATAAATATGTATCATGCGGATACAGAACCTCGGCCATCAGAAGGTTAGCCTTACACAGCTGTGGTCTTATTTTTGAAAAATCATGCAAATATTTAAGAATAACAGACGAATAACACTATTTATTTCTGACAAATGCACCTATCACGCATCCATTTGTAACTATCGTAAAAGAAAAATGTATCTTTTGCCAATTGACTTGAGGATTGATGAGAGAAAATCATTCATTAATCTACCTGTAGATCGAGGAAGAGAACATCCACCTGTTGATTGAGAAGCATGTCAAGCCAAACTGTTAATTTTAATACACGAAGTATATAACTTATAATATGAAATGAAAAAACAAATGATATAAATAAACAATATTAGTAAATAAATATTAACCTTTTCAAGGATAATAATAAACTCTTTATTGCGCACAGTAGAGATGTATACAAGGAGTATTTATACAGAATGTGCATATACAAAAGGCTAAAAGCTAAAAGCAATCTCTTACAGACAACCTGGGACAACCAAGATAAAGATTCAAAACGTATAAAATTATAAATACCCCTGAGAGTGATGTTTCTAAAGCAGTAGGCTATATAACAGTTATAGAATATGATCCAAAATATTTGTACGCCCAGTCTTGATAATTTAAATTTTACTCATCAATGTCAAGGTTATTTCGACTAATCTCCTAACATTCTGGGTCTCTAGGGAGCTAAACTAAATTACAATTTCGTACTAAACTATAGAACCGTTATGTACAAATTATCACAAACATTTCAATAATTCAGTTCAATAATTTATCGAATTACACATATGAATGAGTTGTCATGAAACTCGTATTAACCGACGAACCATTTACGAGCGAATCCTTTGCCGCTTCCGGCTTGACATTATCCTATTCATTTGGAAGTTTTCTGTATTTTTCTCGAGGGATTTCCTTTACAAATTGTAAAAGTAACGAACACATTCGAACTTGGAAGAATGTTTATGTTTTCTGTTTATTCGTGTGTAATTTAATTCATGTTTTTGTTCATAGGATCAAAGCTACTTCAGCGAGCCTGAGATCGATTCGGAATATCACCACCAACACGTTCACAAATCAAAGGTAAGTGCTCAAAAATCTAATCATTTTAATATATAACTAACACTGTTTTTAGCGTACTTAATTAATATTTAAAAAATAAAACTGATTTTATTCCCTTTACTGTAAAGTTAGATATTATAAATTACCTCTAAGTAGTATAAAAATAAGTTGTTGACCGCGTCTACCAATTTATGTGCTTACTTCTAAATTAGGCGACGGATTTTTAATACAGATTTCACTGTATTTTACATAATTTTGTTTACCGAAGTTTTGTACGTATTATTTGTATTTGTGTAGATCTAAGACTTATTAATCAAAGTTTTATTAATGTTTAAATAAAACGCGTTATATATATTTTTTATTTATTTATAAAAATGGTAACAAATTGGTAAGGTGATCTTAAAACTAACATTAAAACGCAATATAAGTAACCATTTCAACATAGACACCTATGACTATAATAAATAACGTAACTCGCAATGGCAAGTTCATAATAATCGAATGTAAATGACTAATTTCACAAACAAATAATCACGACAATCCTGGACATTTGTTTAAACTAGCAGCCTCTGTGTATTATAAAGGTATTTCTAATGTAACATTAGATAATAATAAATTTAATGCAACTATTTTGTCTACTGTTCTATTACGTAGACGCTAGTTAAAACATTCACTAATATCCTTATTAATCTACGGTTTCTAAATCTACAAATTAGCTTAAAGTATATTTTAAAAATCAAGTCGTATGTATGTAATTTTTTTCTGTCATGGAAACTGGAAGTTCCTCTGCAATGAACGTTGCTTTTGAGCTTCTAATAAAAATAGTTTACACATTCAAAATGTTAATCGTCGTGGTAACAATGTATTAGAGTTAGAACGCTTTGCAGATAGGCAAACCCTTGTAATAGTGGGCACCGTTGTAGAGCTTCTTAGGCGTAGACCTCCATGAGAGGATAAGTGCCTTCTGGAATGGCTCCGGTGCGCAACCGCTGCAAACTTGCATGACAGCCTTTACCTCGGCTTCTGCTGGTTCTCTTTCATCACCCTGAAATACAATAAACAGATGTCCCTATTCTACTTCAACTGTACTTTTTATTCAAACTTATCTATATTTATGGATGTAATCTCTATTTGACAGATGCATTAAATTTGTCGCATTATCCGTGATGAGCTCACCACTATCTCTTGTATTAACTACAATCTTTTGTTAATAGTGTTGTTTTAATAGATAGTAATGGAATGGTACTCCCACCTGCGCTAGCGGAATACGCTAGTGGGTCAGTAGTAAGGGATGATAGGTAAGAATGAAAAATCAGGCCAGTCAGCCCATCGTGATAAATACACCTAGAATTCATCACTATGTTTTCCGTGAGGGGCCTCATGCAGGTCGTCCTGACAGGTTATATTAATGGTACTGCTAACATTATCCGTTAACTATCCATCCGTATTACTAATCCGTATCACTAATTATTCATATTACTAACAGTTTCTTTTACCCCCTGTTAAGTGTTATCTAACATGAGATAATAAAACAGAAATTTAAATTGATTAAAGTTTCTGAATTTAACCAGATTTGAAGTTATAAACTCTCTATATAAAACAATAAGTCGAGGTTTTACCATTTATTATTTAGATTGTTTTATGAAACGTAATAAAAAATGAACTGCGTTTGTATAAAATCGTATAGTCATAAGATTAATAAAATGTTAGCTTTCCGGAATAACAAAGTTAACGCACACAGACTGCTACGTAACTTTTTGAAAGCTTTTTGTCAGTCCCTTATTTTAGCGCTTCCATTAACTGCAATAGAATGTTAATTTAATCGTAGCCTCTGTTACTCTAAATAACAATAGTCAACCAATCATTGCCAAATCTTTATAGTTATTGGGTGTTACCTGATAGAATCGATAAGCTTGTGATAAACTCGGGCTGTTTAAAAGAAAGTAAACTTTCTCAAGAATCTCGGATAATAGATTTATTTTCCACGCCTAGATTACGCGCTCCCCGATTACCTATCTCGCAAACAGTTTACGATTGCCGAAAAATGCTCGATATTTGCTGTCTATCTTTATTCTTACATGTTTTCTAGTACTTAAAAACAATCGGCGAGCAAACTTTGGTGCAGACTCTGCAAAGTGATTTACAAGCTACTCTTAAATTTGCTGTTATGAATTAGTTCTATCGCTCACCAATATATCGCTAATAGTGTTGTTTGTTACAAACTTTAGAAATATTTATTTAAGTCAACCAGAAAATAGGAAGTAATCATGTTCGTGGAGTTTTTACTGTTATAGGTATTCAGCCCCCAGAAGAGTTATAGCATAGGCCAGTTTGTTGAATATTTATGCGAGTGAGAGTATAATTTCAATTACCGTTTGTTTCTGTAAATTTTGCACCGGTAGATTTCCAACAACACCAGCGAGTCCTTTCAGGAGAGAGTCTTGGAACAATTCGTCTTCCTTTTCGTCATTTCCCAGTTCAGGACTCAGTAGTGCTTCGTCGACGATGGAACCATCGGATAAAGCTACCAGACCCCGCTTGTCTTTCTTTGCTACAAAAAAAAAAAGATAATTATTTTATAGCCGGCGGTGTTTTGTGTCATGGAGACTTATGTATACGAATAAAGTTTTCCGATCCTGGCTTAAGCCAGGCCTATAAAACATTATTTGATGTCATAAAAATAAATTTGCATTTGTACACACAGTTTAATGTACTTATATAGCACACATGCCGATAATAATTTCCTTCATAACTTTTTCATATTCGTCTCATACAATAAAATGAATATGCTCACGACTATAATCCCGCATCGGACATGCGGAAGTATTTCACCGACTTTTCCGACTATTGTGTACAGTAACACATATCTCAGTGAACACATTCAAATCCTATGGAACGTGAATGGAAGCAAGCCTACCATTTTCTCTCGGATTTATTAAATTATTTTCATGGGATATTTGACCATAAATTTCAATAAGCAATTTTATTATGATCATTTTCATATTAAGTGTAGGTAAGTCACTATTAATAAAAATGCACAATTTTATGAGATTTTACCTGATTTAGTTTCCTGCTCCAATTCCTTCTCAGGGTTGTCCCTTTTATCACGCTTTTTGGATTGCCTCTTATAAATGTTGTGTGAAACTGAGTCATCGATATATTGCACATTAGCTGGATTCAATAAAGACCCTGATAGTAATACAGTAGTGCCTTTAGATGGGCCTAGTGATTGAGCTTGGACGTACTGTGTAGCTGGTCTTGAAGATTGTCCTACTGGTATGGTCAGTAACGGAAGCTGAACAGCTCCAGATTGGTCACTACTAGGTATTTGCTGGATGCTGTTAATAAGTTGTTCGGACAATATCCTGTTACCCAACTGTCCGTTGATGTACGGCTGTTGAATTTGAATACCGTTGGACAATTGCACGGAGATCATTTGTTGTTGTACACCAGCCAAGTTCAAGTTGGGAGCTTTTTGTATCTGTCCTCCGATCAAAAAGTTGCCGTTTCCGATGGGAGTAGCTTGGGGTGGTGGCGGTTCAGTGATCGGTTCTGTCGAAGACTCCACCGGCGTGCCGTCATGTTTAAAATGATGAGCGTGGTGGTGCTTATGATCTTTGTGGGCTTTGCCTGCTGTCAAGGCGACGTGGTACAATTGTAGCATTGTTATCTCCCCCATGAAGCCGGATTCCTCTGTAATTGTTTAAAATATAATAGTTTATAATACTATCTTATTTCAACCTCCTACTTTGATGGCAAAACCGCATACACATGATTACTTATCTAGACTTTTTATGTGACTATTTATTACCATTTTCATGACGGCCTTTTAATGTCCTATTGCAGGGAACGGGGAGAAAAAGTGATCGATAGTAATGGGAATCTAATAACCCTATTGCTAGCAATAAGCCTCGATCTTCAATGAGATTTCTCCTGGAAACCATCGTGGTTAATTCTTGTAAAATTCATCACAATGGGATTCATAACAGACCTGCTTTAATCCTCACCTATCATCCTATGATAGGCGAGGATTACGCCAGCGTATACCGATAGCGCAGGCTGGATTACCATTCCATTCTCATCCATAAATAAAAAAAAATTACAGTGAACGAGTCTCTCTCGAGATTTCTTCTCGTGCCTTGGTGTATTGTGCTTGGTTCTTATAATGACCTGTTATCCTGAGAATGAAAATAATAATAATAATTCACTTGTATTTTTATTTCATCATTACATAGAAAAATTGAGAGTATTTCTATATCTTAGATTATATAAATAGTATCTCCATACAAATGCTTCAAGAAAAGCGTGTCAACTGTTTCAGACAATTTTGCGTGATAAACAGTTATGAGTGATTATTTCATAACTTTTATATTTATTTTATCTTATTAATTCTGCACCTTTTTAATGTGCACAAACTCATTTTATTTATTAAATAATTGAATACAGATACGTCAAGATACATTACGTGCGTAAATATAGAACACTACTAAAAAATCGAGTCAGCTAATTGAAAAATTTGTTAACAAAAAGTTGACCCGTTTTTGAGACTCTATTCAATCTAAGTTCTATATATTTTTGAAATAATGGTATTATAGTATTATTATGTATTTACAAGTACCCTTATCAGATTTTATTATATTATACACATTTAATGCCCATAAAAAATCTTATATAAATAACCCTCTTTCCCTCGACCCTTATTTCTGCAAAGTCAGCATAAATCACTGATAAATAATGGAAACACCCGAGTCCTTAGGAGTAGCAATGTGTTATAGGTGACATAAGTGAAAAAGTATAATTGATTTTCTAATCGTTCAAAGCAATTATTAAGCTTTGGTGCTAAGAGCTAATAAACAAACTTATTTTCGCATTTATAATATTAATAAGGATTATGTTGCATAAGAGTATTATTTTTTATACAAGTGAGAATGGCAAGCAATCTAACGACCCATCTGATGGAAAGTAATCATGCTCGCTTGATTAGTATACTATGTATAGAGTTATTATAATTATATCATAAACTCTTCTCTATTCGCAATCTTTTTGCATTCATATATATATATATATATATATATATATATATATATATATATATATATATATATATATATAATTTAAGTTAAAAACTAGTAACACATTACAATATTATAAATTATAACTATTCTTCGCCTACCACTGCCTACTCTTGCATTGCGTCATGCGTTTGATTGCATTAATTTATTGTGATCGTGCAGTCGTGTTTTCATAGCTGTTTTTTCGTTTGAAGAATAGGATATGGCAGTGGATTTACAGAGTACAGAGGAATAACCCTTTAGTCCTCAGGAATGGTAACATATGGGGGGTATCATGGGCGAAACAGTATACTCTGTTATGCCCATGGTACTGCTCATGTATATAAGCGACGGATACCACTCTCCATCAGATGGGCTGTCAGCTTGTTTGCTATTCTAAGTTACATAAAAAGGCACTAATTCAAATAAAAGATAACTCTAAATTCCATACCGAAGCACTTGGCCATCGTGGTAATAATAAATCGATATTCTATTTTAAAAGACGAGACTAACGCTAATGAGTTGTTACTGATATTGTTGACTTAAAAATTTTGTAAATAAAAAAAAGGAATAACAACTTACTGATGACGGGCTGTAAACCATCTTTATTGTACAACAAAGATTGATCTTGTCCAGTCACAGCGACACCTCCGCCTTTTATAATATGACCGACAAGCTGTGAATATAAATAAATACATATGAAAATTTCATACAGAAATAGTGCTGTAATTTGTATGGCATGTAGGGATGTTGTTTTTATTTTTAAGGAAAAAAGCAATTAAAACTTTTCCAAGTTCGCATAACACATAAAACTTTTCCACGTTCGCATAACACATATGTTTCGTTTAAAATAAAATTTTATTTTGAGTAAAATATAAATCTCCTTTTATTAGCAAAACGATCAAAACTTTATTTAATGAAAGTTTTTTTATGGATGAAAATAACGATATAGTAGCAGATTGGATTAATTAACTTAATGACTAATTACTTTACTTATATTTTAAATATGGAAGTGAGTGGCTTATTGCCTCTTGACATTTTAACGGCTCAACTAATTGTGATGAAATTTGGGAGGTATATACAGAAGTACATGAGATAAAGAAGACATAGTTTGCTTTTTATTTCGATCAATCAATATATATCCGTCACATAGATGAATTCGCTGGTAAAAATTAATTATAAATAAACAAGTATAAATCTTTTGTATGTAGTAGTAATATTACTATTTAGTAAGTATCAAATTCTTATCTCTTCTCGACAGATGCGACTTTTAAAAATTTAAGATTCTTTGAAGGAATAGGTGTATTTATATTAAATTAGGGTTTAAATTATTTATTGAAAATATTAAATAATAATTATTGAAAATTGTTGTATCTTACTTACCCTGTTGTGGAAGCCTCGTCCCACTCTCTCAGCGTTCACCCAAATCTGCCACTCGCCAGTCTTCCCGTTCCATGATTGACACGAGTGGTACCATCTATGAATAAAAAAAATAATTGAATTCTCCAAAAAGTTCCTCTTGCGTTAACGTTTTATCCAGAACTCGAAATTACATTTTCCTCGTCTCAGATAGAATTGGACAATTTTGGATCCAACAAATTAATTATAACTTACAACTATTTCAATAATTATCTCATGATGTCTTAAAATACGATTAGAGTACAAAGATATACCAGTGCAGAAGAAAAAAAACCTCAGTATGATTTAGGCTAACATGAAAAACTATTACAATTATCAAAAAACTTATACGAGAAAAATCGTCTGCTTTGGGTAATTCTGTTCTACTCTTATTTCTTTCAGATTGAAGTATATGGTTGAGTAAGATATCACAGTAATGTTACAAAAATGGAGGCCATTATCCAATACTAACACAAGCATAATGTGACACAATAACATGTGTATACATAGTGTAGTTTATGATGTCCATGATGTTGTTCCTGTTTATATGTAACCATTACTACTTTCCATCAAATGAACTGTCAGTATATTGCCATTTTAAATCGCACAAAATAATCATCATCGTATCAGCCTTTAACTGTCCACTGCTGAACATACGCCTCCCCCTTGGGGGGTTTTGCCTTGTTTTGATTGGCAACTGCAATCAAGCTTTCGAGATGTTTTAAGAGGGACGCTGCTTCCCATCCCTCGCCCTCCCTTAGGCCGCTCTTACGACACCCACGGGAAAGGAAGGGGTGGACTATTCTGTACTGGGATCACACGGCGAAAAATAAAAAACAATTCCTCCACATTCTAAATAGCTCTCTACGAGTATTTCGTGAATTCGATGTTCATATGTAGTTTTAATATTTGCATGCCTAATTATGGCGAATTATGAGGACTTATACTTATTGTAACATCTATACACTTACCATGTTTCTTGTAAATAAATAAATATATATATAAATAAAAAATAAATAAATAAATATATCGTCGAACGGTTTCTTCTTTTATGAAATTCGGTGAAAAAATATATAAATTAAATTAGGTCAGCTACTAACTGACTGTTCAAGTTGAGGTCTAAACAACGTTTGCAAAACCACCGAGCTACACGAAAACTACGAGTAATTACTTGATGTTGACTGCTATGCTTTTCATTTCGTATATGAATACGAAATAAAAAGTGTACTTATACAAAATGTGAACTTGAGTTCACATGTTGTAAAGTGGATTTTTCTGTGTAAAAAAAGAGACTGCAATCGTAACAAAACACAATGAGATACGAAATATTTACCAGATTGGATTGAAAATATTTTAATTTACGAGCATGACAAGGAATCGTGTATCTGAAAATATATTTCGCAACAAATACGCGAGTGAACCCTATAGATTACAAAGAGAATTGTTAAAATCGGTTCGGAATCAAATAAATATAATACAAATTCCTTCACCTATAGAAAGCTACTTTATTAGTGAGTAACATGACTGTATTTTATTTAAAAAAAAAATGTTAAAGATTTTCTACTTAAATAAATCAGACATCTTGTCTTATTAATGTAATAAAATTGTAACTATCGTCTAGTCTGTACATGGGAGATATTTATGAATTTTTTTATACAGATTCATGATAAGAGTAATAAAATCCAAAACAATAATTTTTGAAAATTATATTCGTCTGTCAGTATGTTTTTTCCAGTATCACACAAAAACTACTGCAACAAATTTGATAAGGTTTTCACAGTCGTCTTCCTAAAGGTCTAACTTAAAATCTAGCGTATGTTTTATCTTGGTACCGCATCAAAAATGTTCAACATGATTCATTTTTCTACTTCCAAATTTACGCGAACAAAGTAGTAAACAAAAAGGTAGTTATTAAATAAACATGCTCAGGACTGTAACCCCTGATAAAGTAGTCCGACATATTGTAGTGAATGTTACAAACGATATGTCCACATTTCGTCGAACCTTATTAAATTCAACGTGGCAGGGGCGCTTCTACCACCGTCATTTGGATTCATTTCGCGTTTAGTATTCGATAAATATAATCTGAGTGTTGTAATCTTGTAACAGAATAAGAACAAACATGAATAATTGATACTTTCACGTCGCGAGTGAACGAAAACACTGCCTGTACTAGGCTGCATGTTACATATCAATTAGTCCAAATATGTTTACGATTTGTGATTGAATTAGATGGTCCACCCAAATGGACTGGTTTCTCAATACGTAACGAGCCAGATGTTATTTATTTATTGAACTTTAATATACCCAATGTCAGGTTAGTTGGTTCATCGTGATTTTGTTAGGAATTAACCATACTGATTTGAAGGGACCCCGCGGAAAGTTCAGTTTCACAGGGCATATTAATATAAATATAGGACAATTTATATTAAATTCACTAGCAGTATTTATCTGTAAGTTTCATATAAACATTCACCCCCTCTTAAACCAACTTAGAGGAAAACTACTACTTAAATTATGTAAGAGCCTCGACTCTCAAAAACTAATTGTCAAATTAGCTGAGTCGTTTTTTTATTAGTGTTCTATTATATTTGCGCATACAATGTATCTTGAAGTATTTATATTTAATTATTGAATAAATAAAATGAGTTTTTGCGCAAAAAAAAAATTATAAGACAAAATAAATATAGAAGTTATAAAGGAATCACTCATAACTATTTGTCACCCAAAATTATATGAAAAAGTTGACCCATTTTTTTCAAAGCATTTGTATGGAGACACTCTATCTACATAATCTAAGAACTTTTCATTATCCATATGTTGTATTTTGATAGAAAAAGGCATAACGGGGATTGTCCGTCGTTTGCGCAGGCCTAGAGATTTATTATATAGATAGGATGAAATATGGTCTGAGAATATTGTGCAACAATTTATTACACACTACACAACATACAAAGTATTTTATGTATTTACCTTTATACTTATATGCTTTTAACAGTTGTGCAACTTACAAATGCTGAGTATAACGGCCATATTTTGGAGAATTAGCTTTTTCTCTGATTTCGGCACATGTTGCTTTCAATGTGATAAAATTGTTGAGAAATATCTTCCAATATCTCTCAAGGTTTCATATTACATATACGTAAGTACATTACAGTATATCTAACCAGGTTTTGTTAGATATAGTATAACATATACACACACGAATACTTTATATATTTCTCCTGTTTCTGCCTTCTCCAATGGGAGACAGGCGTGACAGATTTACATGTATGTTTCTCACAAACACACATTGTATATAAAAAGTTTAATGACTGTAAATTAAATAAACAGATGATGTTTGCACACGCGCAAATACGTCACAATTGAGATAGGTGGATGGGAATACCATTTGCAATCAAGTGGGCCAAAAGCTTCTTCATTTACCATTCTTACAAAAAAAGAATATTAAAAATTTCTCTTAACTGCAGTAAATCTTTTCTATGAGGACCCTTCACTTCTTAGAATATTAGAATCCCCATAGGATAGGGTTGGTATCTAGAACAGTGATTATAAAATAAATGATTGATTAATTATTCTCTTCTGAATAAATTGGCATTCCCTCCTTTTTCCCATCAATGTTATACTTTCAGATTTCATATATCCTCTTAAAGATTCAATATTTCATTAATCAATATGAGATAATAACGTGCCAAATTGTTGACCATTTTTTTGCCAAGTGACTAATTATAAATGTTATCATCCATTATCCCCTTCCCCAATTATTTGGGCTTAGCGTAATGTGTTTTCCCCTTCCTTCATCTCTGTTAGCAGTCTTTTCTGCAATCACTCTCTTTCTGTCTGTATCATCTTTCACACAATACACTCATCTTTTTAGGTCTTTTTTCCTGATTTATAAGACTTTTTTTTTATTTTATACTTTATCTATACGTATTTGAACTATGAAATACATACATTACACAACAATAACTCCATGTGTTTTTTACTTGTTTTTATTGTATGATAGGTGCATAGGCTTGACCTCTATTATAGTAGCAACAGTTGCAAAATAGAACGTATGTTGTTGTATATATGATATTGCTAATGCCTGTCTATTGCATGTATCTTTAATGATAATTTAACGAACAGGCTGTAATAAAAGGAGATAGGAATTGTAATAATATTTTAAATAAAAATGCATAAAGTTTGAAGAATCTCGCAGAGCGTGAAACTATGTTGATTACTTGAAAATAATATAACTATTATGAAATCGTTTATTTACACGTGAAACTTGATGAAACTAATTAAATAGTTCATGTCATTTAGTAATGCAAATTATGCCAAGGTCACGCCACTAGTAGTGTAAATTATGCCAAGGTTGCTATTGCATCTGTAAGTAGGGGAAGTTTCCATCCTTCTTTCGAGCTAAACTCGCTTCTTAGATAGATATATAATTTATTTCTTATACTTACAACATACAAATAACAACTACCAAAGTGAGCATGCAGAAAAAGAAAAGTACATAAAAAATAAAATAGATTTTTTTTCGTGTGTGTACCACAGTAACACAAAATGGTTACATCTCAGTTCTTGCTCTGCCCTCAAAAGGGCAATAAATCAGCTGTGACTTGTCTATAAAACATTTGTGACTGTTTGAAAATGGAACACACTGCTCTATATCTACTATGTAACACGACATTTGCATTTGTAGAAATGTCATCTACTTATGCAGTATATAAATCTCGTCGTTTTTATATGTAAGTGTTCAGAGTAATTACATTATCATACACATAGTCTCGTATCAGTTTATCCATTGGTTTTCTAAACTAGTGATGCACTTTCAATATCAGTAAAAAGTTTTATAATATCTTGTCATCTTGTAATATAAGAAATACATGCATTTATTAACATCTTCTTGCCCTTATCCCAATTATTGGGGATCGGTATAATATAATTGTTTTTATTACACACTGTCTGACTTCAACCCTGTTTGAGATACATTTATTAGAAATATTCGTCACCTACGGTATAGAAGAAAGGATTTGAGAAAAAAGAGAGGGGTATTGGGAGCGAGTAAAGCAATTTAGTAAAGAAGTAATG